GACGAAGGCATTGCATCGGTAGGGGGTCGCAACTACCAGGTGAGAATGCTGGCCGAGCCCGATTCGCCCGATATCTTCACGAAGGACTCGGCCGATCATTGCTCGATCCCAGAGTTTTTGGCGGGTTTCTGTCGCTCATTGGCTACCAAAGCCGTCAAATCTGCCTCCGTCATTGTCGATTCCGTCATCTAGCAGTGGCCATCGATCCTGCCACGGCTTTGTCCGCAGTCGAAGGGGTGACACGGGGTCGGGCACTACAACTAACGTCGATTCAAAAATCGGCAGGCTCAGCATGCTGTCATGGGGCGGCTCTGCCTGCGCAGGCCGATCTGGTTTCGAAGCCTTGGCCTGCTGGCCTGCTCAGGCTGGTCTGGCTTGAAAGGCTTGGCCTGCTCAGGCCGGTCTGGCTTGGAAGGCTTGGCCTGCTCAGGCCGGTGTGACTCTGCCTGCTCAGGCCGATCTGGTTTCCAAGGCTTGGCCTGCTCAGGCTGGTCTGGCTTGGAAGGCTTGGCATCATCCAGAACATGGGCGACGGCTGCTGGAATGTGCTCAAAGTCATCTACCTTGAGAAGTCCATTTCCTCCACTGCAGCTTTGTCCATGTGCAGTGGGAAACCCTTCGTGCCGGTGTTCCGCCCTGGCCTCATCCTGTCAAGAAGGCCATCCAGTGGGCGTTGGCAAGGGTGCGTGGACATCATGTGCACTGGCACAGACTGGAGGACAAGTCGTCGAACACCCTGCTCAAATCATCATCAAACCTGTGGTCACCTGAGAATGACGAGCTTGCAGAGGGCATTCGTTACATCAACTCCTTCGCTCCCGACTGCGACGCTCGCAATGAACAGACCTACTGGATCTTGACGAACATCAAGCCTGACTCCGGCACCCCCCTGGCAGGCTGGCCAGAAATCAACGTCAGGAACATGTGCCAAAATAAGTCTCGTGGTGTTTCCGGGCCCGTTCCCAAGAATGAGTTCCCACTTACGACTGCAAGCCTCAGCGTCGCCTTCGCGGAGAACATTCTGCCGCTGGTGTACCCCCTCCTCTTGAGCGCGCCAGCATCAGGAGTCGGAAAGACGCCTGCCATCATCACCATGGCCATGGCTATCGGCCGCTATCATGTCCGACGCCTGGGTCTACACGGCGTAAAGCCTGGCTGGAGACGAGGGAAATCTCTTGACAACTTTAGGCAGAGATCACCACAGATCCAGGAAGCACTCTTCCTGGACGACCCTTCAGGGCGACGTCTGGACATGGCCGACCTGAAGTCTTTTGTCACAACGGATGAGGACGGCACGGTCAGTGGCCGCTACAACGATGGCCGCCTGACACGCAATCAGTTCCGGGCTCTTGCGTCCAACGATACAGGTGATGAGCCTCCAGGCGTTCTACCGTCAGACACTAAAATGCACCCCGAGGCTTTCATCAAACTCCTTGGCCCTCGTTTTGCCGATGTCCACAGGAAGGACATACTTGCAGTTCTCAAAAGATGTACTACATTCGTCGTCTGCCCTCCGAACGCCCCGATGCCATAGTCCATCGAATCACCAAGGGCGACATCCACAAGGATATGCTGGCCGAGAAAGATAAGCACCTCTACAACACTTACAAGAATGGCTTGACGGTCTATGGGGCCAGTCATGCAGCTGAGATCGAGCAAGAACAGGCCATGATTGATGAGCGTGCAGAATACTTGGCTGGATTCCCCAACGTCAAGAATTACGTCCAGGATTGCAACAACGCCCTGCAGACATGGCTTCGACCTGTTCGTGTTCTTCCAAACTCGCCCGATTCGCCTCAGCAGAATGGGGAAGAAGCAGCAGGTGACCTTCGCCTCTCACTGTACATTGGCAGTGGACCTAAAGCCAATCGGGTGGACCGCGCCTCGTTCGTCATTCCAGACTCCTCTGTAAGCAAAACTCGCAGAATCCGTGGTGCGTCCGGATGAACAGGAGACTCTCGTGCCAGAAATCGAGCCGGACGAGGAGGCCGCCTTTGCCATGCATTGTCAGTGAGCTGAGCAGAGGAGTAGGCAGCACGGTCGTGGTAGTATAAACCCAATGGCTGCCGTTCCAAGGCGAGTGGAGAAACGTAATGTCGCTGCCACTGCAAGCTCTTGCCCTCTTAACAACTTGCTGCTGCTGCTGTGGCATGTCTGGACTGTTAGCAGGCCTCTGGCCCCGACTCTAGTCCTGCTACTCCCATCGAACTGTGATCAGCATTTTGCTCAGGGTCTTCTTACTCTGCTTGTGTACAGGACGGCTTAGGTGCTTGGCGTGGTCATGAGAAAGCAGATCACCAAGAAGAAGCCATCTTGCCTCTTTCCGTTCGCGAAGAAGGGCAAAACCCGCTTTCTCTTGAAGGACAACTTGACGAAAACGCCGACAAGTAACAAGGTCCAAACGAAAAAATGGCGAAAGACGCCTTACGTCAAGAACCCCATCAAGATCCGTGTTGACCGCTTGAGATGGAAGAGGAACTTGAAAGACTTCATCGGTGTCGACGAGGATGCGACGGTCAAGCTCCTCACCGAAGACGGCCTGCTGCCGGACTGGACTCGCATGAAGTGTCCTTTCTGCAACCTGGGGGCTGTCTCAGGCCTTCAGTCCAGGGGACGGTTGACTCCACGACACCGCTGCAGACGCAAAGCCTGCCAGAAGTTCATCCTTCCCCAACATCTGCATCCCATCTTCACATCAAACATGCACAAGGCACTCGAGAGCATGGAGAAGAAGCTAGCCACTACAAGGAAGTGTGTCATAGATGCAGAGCAAGCCCGCATGGTGCTCGGGAACGGCAAGAGCACGAAGTGGACGGAGGTAGAAGCCGTCTTCGACAAGTGCTTGATCGCGGCAGAGGATGCTCACAACCCCAACAAAACCATGAAGTGGGAGCAGTGGTTGGGCATGGTGCCCCGCGGGAAGCCTTCCTCTCTGGTCTTGTTCCGATTGCGTTGGTTGACTGGTTGACCACGCACAAGAGAGCCCCAGGCCCAGGAGCCGTGCGCAAGGAGGATTGGGCCAAGATCGCCAGCAAGTGGCTTAAAGATCGCTCGATCATCTTGCACACTGACAGTGCTCGGAGCTATCGGACTAAGATCCGTGGGGTACTCCATGATGCTGTTGTTCACCAGAAGAAGAATCTGCTCCGTGGAGGAAAAAAGGTTTGGAAACCCCCCACCTTCGTTCGCTTAGCAAAACACAAGCTCCCCAACGGGCGCAAGATCACCGTCAAGGCTGGCACACAGGTGATTGACCGGGCCTGGCGCTTCCTGAAAGAGCGAGTAAAGATCAATCAAAACACCAAGACCGGATCCCACCAGCTAACCGCGAAGATCAGGGCTGCCCAATATGAGTATTGGCAGCGGGGTATATAAGGACATGTGGGCCAGCACCGGCACCCGCCTCACCTGGTACATGGACAAACGTCAAGGCACAAGGAGGCCTAGACCTCGAAGCGGACATGCCGCATGAGTTTTGGCAGCGGGTAGGGACATGCGGGCCAGCATTGGCCACCTTCTCACCCAGTACATGGATAGCATCGCGGCAAGGCGAAATGGGTCCAGACCACGAAGCGGGCATGCTGCAAGTTCAAATTTCGCATCCTCCCATTTCACCTGCTCCATGTCTGCTGATCTTCAATGCAAAACCCTCTGAAATCCTCTGACACACGCCATGGAAAGCCACGAAACGGTAGATAACTGAGGGGGGTAGCATATATATATATATATTCATATAAGCCCGATGAATGGTGGCAGGACATCAATGCTTCATTCCTGAAGCTTCCTTCTAGGGCTTGAAAATGTTGCCCAGTGTACAAAAAGACACTGCCTTGCAGAGCAGCGTCAGTGCAAAGCACATGTGCAGTCAGAAGACCCTCTCGACGCAAGGCACATGGGTTCAAAGAATGAAAAAGGTGAAGGTAGCTCTTTTTGCACCAGTGCTGTTGCCGGGCTTGGGGGCCCTTCACCAGCAGCAGGCACTTCAGAACAACCGGCACAGAAACCGTCTGCCAACTGCTCGCTTGTAGGGAGCCAGTGCAAGGGAAGTCGGCGCTGTTTGTCACTGGGCGCCTTGGGAGCTCCCTCGCGATGAACATGACCATAAAGAGACCATGAACTGGAAGTCTGGCCTCGTCTGCTTGGCTATAGCCACGACGCTGAGCCAATAGCTGCGCGGTCTCCTTCACGGAAACTGGTGGCGCTTGGTCCTCGGGCCTCATGTCAACGGAAATCTTCAGCTTCTCCACCCGAGCGCGCGCATACTCCGATTGGCTCACCGTGACAAAGTCCTTCTGGAACTCATAATGGCACCCCGTGTACTACTCGAACTTGTCGTCCTTCCACCCATCCACCGGGAAGCGCTGCGACAGCTCTTTCTTCACCAGTGCCCGAAAAGTGGTTCTGCCGCCAAGAGGAGCAGGTCATCAACGTGAGTAATGATCACGCCGTGCACCCTGTGGCCATCTTCCTCCTTGGGCATGAAGACGCAGGGGTCGATGGACCTTCAAGACCATTTCCTTCAGCTCCCGCGACAGCTTCATCCACCCCCACCCACCCCTCCCCTCTCCACCCACCCCTGTCCAGGCCTCAAAAGACACATGTTCCTCCCACTGCGTGAGCTCGGCGTCTTGGTAGATCTCTCTCTCTCCTCCGGGGCACTTTGCCCCCACGGGATCTCCTTCTCCCCGTTCGGGGATTCGGTGGGCCGCCATGTGGACTTGCTGAGGGCCGGGGCTGCTGCACACGAGTCCGGACTTTCTTTGCCTGCTCCCTTTGCGAGCAAGGCCGCCCTTTGCCGATTCACGACGGCCGGCACGTCATTTGTGAGCAGGTGCGTCCGCCGGCCGGCTCGCCTCCTACCAAGTCGTCCTTGGCAATGAGCTCCAGATTCTCGTTATCAGGAAGTTCGAGGTTGTCGTCGGGGTTGTCCCTCAGCTCCGCCTGCTCGTCGTCGCAATCCATCAAGTCCTCCTCAAGAACCAGCTTATCCGAAGCATCTCGCTGACCTCACCGTAGCTGGGCCGATCCAGTGAGGCATGGGCTTCGATCTTTGCCTTGCCAGGCCGGCGGAGGCGGTAGAAGTAGACGAGGTCGCCCGGCTCGAAGGACTGCTTCGACCCTGGCCTCGTGGTGGAAGGCCCGCTTCACGGCATCACGGGCGTTATAGTACAGGCGGCCCGGGCGCCCATGCGGATAATTTGGCTCCTGCCGAACATTTGTCGCCTCTGCGGTTGCAGTTGCGGAGCTGGTTCTTGGCATCGGAGACGGCTGCTGCTGCTTCTCCCACCTCGCTGGCGATGATGTGCCTCTCCAGGACAAGCTTATCCCAGATGGCGTTAGACGGCGCCATGTCTTTCAGCCACGCCGTGCTGCCCGGCAGCGCAGCGCCCGTGGGTGTTTCCAGAAACTGATCTTTAAACGCTGAATCCAAATCAGCCAGCACGTGCTTAGGCGCTCCTGCCCAGCAGACCCACCCATTGACGAAAGGACTTCGCGCCGCGGATGGGCAGCACGACCTGGTACGTCGGCTAAGTCTACCATATATATTGAGCGCCGGCGGTCTTCATCCACAGGATGCGCTGCGGCCTTTAACATTCCTCGTCTGACCACCTTTGTCGAATTGTCGCACGTGCGTGCGACACCTTTTGGCGGGCCGCTGCAATCATGGCCGGGCTTGCTCCCCCTATCTTGAGCCAGTTCGCGCCGGGATGACTCAAGTTCTGGTGAATCCGTCTGACAGTTGCCGCGACTGCCGGATTCACACGTCCTTTAAAGCTGATCGCCTTGGCCCCGGTGAAGTTGAGGCCGTCGCCGGGGAGCAACTCGCTGTGTCTGGTCGGCCTCGCCCTCCTGTTCAACTGCAAAGGCCTCGTGCACTTCGGAGCTTGGGCTCGCCCGAGCCACAGTCAACTTCACCACTGCGTTGGTCCGTTGGTGGGGTATACAGCTTGTCGCGCGCTGAGCAGGGCCTCCTGGTGTACCACTTGTGGAAGATCTTGCCTTCAAGCGCCCGGAGCCGCTTCTTGGCAAAGGCCTCCAAGATGCCCCTAGTAATTGAGAGTTCCAGCCCCTCGTGCGCATGCTTCGGCTGCAGTAGTGCCCATGCAGGCCTGAACAAGTCTCCTGGGCGCGGGATCTTGCAGCACACCGGCATTGCCATCATCTTCCGTCTCTTGGTGCGTTGCCGGGCCTTGTCCCTGGGCGACAGCTGCCCCTCGCTTTTAGTGCCCAGTCCTGGTAGCAGGAGCCGCGAAACTTGCCGAACGTCATGATGTCCCCCCTTTGGCTGGAGGTGATCCCGGAGATAAGCGTCCCCGAGTCGACTGCGGCGGCACACTCAGGCCGTGCTCCCGGTCCCTCGCGGTCAGCTGGGTCAGTCATGGTCCTCCTCCCTTGGTGGGGCATTCTGCTGGCGAAGTTCGACCGGCACGTCGTTGTCCTCGAGCTCGTGGATCAACTCCGCCTTCTTCATCTTCTGTGGCGATTTTCCGCTCGAGCACATGTGTGTTGTGCCCCGGGCTCTTCGCTACTGCTGGCAGCTGTTGCCTGACGCTTGGCAAAGGCGCTGCATCCAACCCACAAGCCGTTGCTGCTCACTGCGCCCTTGAGCTGACTGCTGCTATCTCTGCGCCACACTTCCACTCTCACACTGCACAAGGCAACCCTCGCTCAAGCACGCAACTTCGCGAGGAGGGACTTTTTCAGGCTCGGGTACTTAGTTGCCCAAAGAGAAGGATCAAATCGATGCTTGCGAGGAACAACGTGAACACGAACCATGAGGTACTCGGTTTCGACCCAAAAGTCCTGGTGCTTGCTTCCACCATGTTGTGCACTTCTGGGGTGACTTTCTTGGGGTGGAACACCGTCATGTATGCCTCGCGGTGCGGGATCCAGGCATCTTCGATTGCGCTAGGCAGGCCTGCTGGTGGTCTGCCGTCGGCGTACTGTGAGACAGACAAGACCGGATGCCCAGTCATGCCGGTCTCCATCCTTAATTAGGGCAGCCAGCGTCACGCAGTTGGACGCGAAACTCCCAGCCGAGCAAGCACCGCCTTGCTGAATAACAAATGCACCCTGCAGGGCACCACCACCGCGACCCTCACCATGAAACACACCCCTCTGACAGCGAACCATGCGTCCACAGCAAAGGAAGAGGTGTGCACTCATGGCCGGCCAGAGCACGCGGTGTGAGCTATTGCTTCCAATGTGGCCCCCTGCCCCATCCGGCAAAGGACCCCCAGACCCTCGCTCGCAGTGACTGCTTTTCCTCAAGGAGCCTCCATCGCCGGTGGTCTCGGTCTCGCACACACCTTTACAGGCGCTGCAGAAGGTTCGGGCGCTCTTCGCATCTCATCGGCGTCCGTGCCTCGTCCTTTCACCGCCTCCCAGTACTTGGCCTTGGCCGCCTGAAACATGTAGGCGGTGTGCGCCGCCTCCGCAATGCCCTCTTCGACCAGCTCATCGTCCGACTCGCCGCGCTCCGCCAAGTCGTCCTCAGACTCGCCCTCGTCGAAGTGGCCCTCCTCAGTCATGTGCAGCGAGTGCTTCGGCCACTTGCTGCGCCACCCCGGGCGAGCATCAGTCCTGGCACCAGGGACGGCTGACTGCCTGAAGGCCTGCAAGCGCTTCACGTCGTACACATTGCCAACGCTCGCCATCAAGGCCAGGTCGGAATGTAAAGGCGAAGCTTGTCCACGTACAACCAGGCCTTGAGCGGCGGCTAAGGGCACCTCACCTCGTGGAGTCGCAGCACCATTCACGCTTTGCTCGGGCTGTCGGTGCCCTCTCTTGAAGAGCTCGACCACTGGTCTGGACCCACCGGATGTAGTAGTCAATGCCGGGGGAGGCCTGGATATCCACATCCAGCTCCTCGGCATAGACCCAGGCCCTCCCAGCCAAGGAGGAGTTCCCGACCTCGGTCTCGTTCTTTGCCGTCGAAGCTCGGAGTTGAACGCTTTTCCGAGGGCCGCTCTCTGCCTCGGTCGGTCCATTGCCCCACTCCCAAGGCTCGGGCCCCGTCCCGTCTACACCGCCGTGGTGAGATCAAGATGGGCCACGTTGCGGCCACATAGCTGGCCATCTGACAGCCTCCCGCCCTCACAGGCTCTCTGTCGTTCTTGTAGCCAACGAGGAACCCAAGGCTGCAAGGCTGCGTGTAGTGGCTTGCTCTCGACCTCCGCTCGACTGGCCCCAGCCAGCCGACTCGGACCATTCCTCGTCGTTCCACTCAGCTGTTGCCCGTTGTCGAACCATGTGGTAGGGCCCCACCATGAGCCCCGACCTCGGTGTTCATCTTCTCCCGCATCCCGTTCTTTGGCACAGCTGTGGTAGTGCTCAAGCCATGGCTCATTGGGCGGGTCGGCCTCGTCCGGGCCCACTGTGACTGTCGCCGGAGCTGCTGCCTCTCCGCCTCCATCTTGGTGTTGCTCTTCTTGGCCTTGCTGCATGGTCGCTTGCCCCGGCTGCTGTTGGCGCCGCAGCTGCCAAGTCCTGCCATGGTCTGCTGGCATGGCCAAACCGGGAACGTCCTAGAACGCTCCGCTACCAGTGCTGGTGAAGGGCCCACAAGCCCGGCAACAGCACTGGTGCAAAAAGAGCTACCTGCACATTTTCATTCCTTGAACCCATGTGCCTTGCGTCGAGAGCGTCTTCCGACTGCACATGTGCTTGGCATTGACACCTGCCATTCTCAATCCCACGTGCTGCACATCACCGTGTTTTTCCAAAACCAATTGTCCCGTTGTTTAGAAATTCTATGAATTCCAGGCTACACCTGCGCTGCAGCACCTCCACCGGTTGTCGGGAACTTCAAACCAAGCCAAACTTCAGTAAGTTTCAGATAGTATCAGTGTTACTGCGTTACTCCTGTGCACAGGCTTGGCATTTGAGGCTCCAATTGCTGTCAACATGTCTACGTCCGTGTATTGCTGGTTGATTTCAGGGTGACTGCTAATTGTAGCGCTTCTAGCTGAGACTCCACATGCTGTCTGTGAAGTCGACGAGGGACTAGGGACCAGAAGCCGAATTACCAGCGGGCCAAGGGTTCCGGCTAGGTTGCAAAGCAAAAAGCATGGCATCCAACTACATGCGTTGGCTATTTTTTGTGTCGACGCCTCCACTGCCTGCTTCTGATGCCAGACGAGTGATGCAATTTTTTGACATGTCGCATCGCCAACCTGCCACATTCGCACAATCGAAACTGTTGCTTCATTGTGCCTGCAAGGGCTCTGCAAAATCAGTCGGTTTGCCTGGTTCTTGTGTAGCTTCAGCACACGGAGCCTCACATGCCCTGACAAGGACTAAGGCACTTTCGGCTGGACAGCTTGGCACGAGCACGATGCAGACATGCGATGCAAGAGTTGAGCCTTGTCGGCGTTTGCCAAAGTCCTGCAACCCTGAAACCAGGATGGCTCCAGCCTACAGGTTTGCTCTTGGAGTCTGACTCGGCTGCGATCAGAGCGCCTCGTCGGAGAGATCGTTCTCCGAGGCATCCAGCCTCTGCGGCCAACACTCGGCCAACAGTCAAAGCCCCTGCCAGCCCCCAGGCCCCGACTCCAGCACAAGCTCCACGGTAGGGTCCACGCAGCGCGCCTTCCCGAAAAAAACAAACGCCTCTTCCCGAAAGGCAAGAAATCGCAGGATGCAGGCGAGGGGCACAAAAGGAGCTCATGCCCAGAAGCAGTGACTGGACATCGGACGCCCGAAGCCCCAGAGCCTCTTCGCTCCGTGCGCTTCAGAACGCATGTGTGTCATCAGGGGTGCTGCATGTGCTGCCTTCACCCGCACGGATAAAGTGGAGGAGCCGTAGGTGTGCCTTGGCTCAAATCACTTTAGGAGCCAGGCCTCTTGAAAGCAAGAGGCCGTCAGGGTGCTGAAGTTGGCAGTGGCGGTCCCACCAGGTTGGCAAGCAGTGCTCCTGGCAATCCTCGTCGTCTTTGTGAACTTGGATCTCGCACGAGGCCGTCGCCTGAGCTCATCTGCTGTAATCTAACTCTGAGCAGGTGATCTCTTCCAACCTCTTCGGCCACATCCGACTCCATGAGCTGTCATGCTACGGAAAGCTTGGATGCCTTGTTGTTCTCCTTCGTGGCTGAAACTTCGATCTGGTGTCACGAAAAACACTCCCTGATCTCCCTGTGCGAAAGAAACACAGGACAATCAGGGAGATCTGCTGGATCCATCTGCAGTTGCGCTCACATGTATTCAACATCTCTTTCTCGTATCTTCCCGATCCCCGAGCTACTAGCTCGCTTGAGCAGCGAGAGCACCGGCAGTGGCACAGCACGAGCACGAAAGGACGAAAGCGGGCCGAAGCATCGAGCCTTCGACTGCGGGGATCCCGTTGGAAAGCGCGACTTCAAGTCCAGGCTGCCATGGAATGCAGTGACATCTGGTAATCGAACCTGCCAAGAGAGAACCCTTCCAGTCATGGAGGTTTTCTCTGGCTTCCTTGACCACTCCTGGAGCATCTCATGCTGCACGATCAGCTGCTGGCACGTTGGCAGCTCCACCAGTTTCACCTCATCGCTTCTGTCGCTGTTTCGTTCTACTCTGGTGCTGAATCTCGGCGCGATGCTGATTTTACCCGTTGCCGGGATTCCTCGCCTCGACAATCGAGGCTTTGCAAAACGCATCTGACTGACAGGGGCATCACGATGCCTAAGGGGCCTCTGCGCTCTGAGGGTGCCTGTGGGTGGACTCCATGCAATGCCAGGAAGGAAGCAAGAAGCACATAAGCCGCTCCCGGCCTGCAGCCTTAGGCTAGCAGCACGCTCGGCGTCTCCGTCCCCAATAGAGATCAAGTTCCTGGGCTGAGTTGCTCTGCCCGTCGCACTCGCTCTTCTTCGCTCGAATCTTTCTGCTCTGAAGTCCTTCTCTGGCCTAGGGCCTTGGGCCTCAGGAAGCCAATCTCCCTCTCGATTCGATTCAAGTCCATTCAAGTTCTTTGGCGCTTCCACGGCAGATATCAAGCACAGAAATACACCGCCTCTGACTGCTAAGCTCCCCGCGAAAACTTCTTGCATTCTCGTCTGAAGGTTGTGATCCTGAGTTTGAGAAGTTGGCCAGCACGATCAGAGATCGCAGCGCCCACCGGCACACCAAGTGGCTTAAAGGTCAGGGGTGCGTGCATGGGCTTCGCATAGATCGGATAACTGCGAATCTGCCGAGCAAGCACAAGGCACAGAACGATGGATTGCACGCACCAACAGCCGACATTCAAGCTGCTCTCTTGCCGCCCACGACCGGTGCACCTTTTTGATCCGAGCTAGGATCCGGAGCGGTCTGCACTGCCACTGTGTGGCGCTTCTCGCTTTGCATGGCGGATGTAACATCGACCCCCGGACGGTGCCGGCATGCCTCAAGATTCAAACGCTCACATGCGGGGTTTCTCCTGTTGACAATCTACAGACCCAGATTTCGAGATGCGTGAAAGAAGCAGGAGTTCGTCACATCCACTGTTTGTGTAGCGCCATGCGCCATGGCCAAAAGCCGCCACTGTGTCAGGACTTCATATGAGACAGAGGCAATGTAATCATTAGAGGATCGGACACACGGCCAGCTGGCAGTGAAACGGCTTAGCCAGACGAGCCTGTATCTCACTGTACTGGCTGAACTGGAGCCGAACTGCACCAGTAGCGTGACCGTGCAGAAGAAATGTCGAGTCGCGAGCTACACTGCCATGGTTCCCACACCAAGGTTGGAGATAGGCCGGCGACCATTGAATTTGACTGATGGCTGTTCCGGTGTTGAGAAAGACGATCCGAAAGCCTGTCCATCTCTTGGTGCCAGGACTCACTGATTGCCTAAATGGTCAAGTGGCAGAGGATTGCACCTGTGGCAGAGATGGGACAAACGGGGGAAGCTTGCGAAAGCGAATCGCTGGGCAGCGGCACGCAGCAGAAAAAGTTGGGGGCTTGACCTGGCCGTTGCGTCGGGGACGACTCGACGACTCGACTCAGGGAGCTCTGCAGATGCTGAGACGCTCGCGCTAGCAAGCAACGAAGTGCAGGATGGTCCGAAACCTTGAGGCATTTGTTCGCGGGTGAACGGTAACAGAGAGGCATGCAAAAATCGGGATCAACAACGTGAAGACATGTATTTCAGTGGCCGCAGTCCTCCTTACAAGAGTCGTCTGGGATTTTTTAGGGTGGGCGACTCCATGTATTGAAAAGCTGAAAACTGGGTGCTGACACCCGAAAGACTAATTCTGGCCGCATGGCATGTCCGACTGCTCATTCGGCAGCGAAATTGGTGCGAACCTTGTCTGAACCTTGTCCTTGGGGTCCTTTTCAAAGCGGTTGACACGGTAAATTGATTGACATTTCCCTGATTTCAATCGAGCTCCTCCCGACCGAAGTCATTTGAGAGAACCGTCGGGAAGCCGCAAGTGTCGTCTGGCAGGTTTTCCCGCAAAAACCCACTTCATGGCTCTGCTGCAGCTGATGTTCTTGGCCTGTCAGTGAGCTTCCAGAGCTCAAAGAACAAATCGACCTCAGCACAGCTGAAGGGAGAAGAGAAGACACGCCGAAGCCGAAGTCGCCAGCTGGGCCATGCTGGGCCAACGGCTCAGAGTCGGAGTCTGGACATCGCTCAGCTATGTCCTACTGAGACGCACAAGACCAAGACACTGCCTCGCAACTGTCGGCAATCCATCCTCATTGCTGGACTTGGCACAGGGAAGCCTCTCGCGTGGCCTGCATCCGAAGCGTCGTGTGTTGTTGCATGCAGACGAGCGCTTGAACATGTTGGCTTTGCCGCAAGAGCACTGGGAATCAGCAATTTGCTCACTCGACAAGTCGCTAGCTTCAAACCGCAATGTGCCTCGGGGCTGGCGGGGGCTTCAAAGCCTGGCAAAAGCACGATCTGTTCTGCCGCAGTCGTGGACTTTAGCGCCAACTGCGGCAAAGTCACTTCCTGGATCTTCTTGCTAGCAAGAATTCTTGAAGCTGCTGATGCTGACTGATCCATGGCCTCTGCATCAAAGGCATTCGACAGAGTCGGCCGCAGCACCGACAAGATAAAGGTCTGCATTGACGGGAGCTTAATATGGCTTCTGAGATCACGACTGCCTTGTCCAGGTTTACATTTCCGCCATGGTTCACGTCAACGGGCACGTGCCTCGCAGCGCAACGCAGAAGTCTCCCAACATCTTCCAACTCTCAGCCAGGCCTTTGCGGAGGTGGCTGAACGCTTCTAGCAAAGAACTCCATGGCACCTTCGGAGATCAGAGCGCTCCCTCTGTCCTCTTAGGTGATTCGCATACGTCACGGCCTGATCAGTTTCCGCACATTGCTCAGACAGCCAGTGTCCGGCCTAGGGTTCCTGTCCTAGCGAATGCAAAAGATGAACAAACGGAAGCTGGAGAAATCTGATGGTTAGGTTAAGGTGGCAGGCAAAGTGTCGAAGGAACCCTTTTCCTGTTGGCTCCCTGGATCGGCAAAGACCTGGAGCCCTTGTCTACATTAGAGCACGCACACAGGCAGCAGCGTGCTTCTTGAGCCATCACCGGATGAAGAAAATCTTGCATCGCAGCCACGCCAGACAGTGCATGCATGATTCTCCACACGCACAACGGAAATCGGATCACGGCCGGTGGCTAGGCCTGTTGGAGGATCTGCGGCATGAAAATTTGGCAAGATTGGTCAACCTCCGGCCCAATTCCCAGGCAAGGAGCATCTTCACATCCCTCACCGAAGGACCGAGGAGACCACCCAGCCGGGGGCACTGTTCGTGATAATCACAATGTTGCCTAACCTCGGACGTAAACACACCATCGACCACGAACACGGCACGACACGCAGCGAGCCCGGTGCGTGGAGGCAATTTGCAACGTCTGCGTCACCGCCTTGCTGACGCATTCCGCAGATCCACAGAGAACTGCAGTGGATCGCTTTGAGTGCTCGGGGCCAGGCGGAGCAGAGACTGGCGAGCCTAGGCAGACATAGGCAGATACCATGCAGGAGAGATCCGGAGTGCCAGGGGCAGCACTGCCTCTGAACTTCAGGCCGCAGAGGTCCGCCTGTCCAGCTGCGGATAAGTCGCAGTTACAACTAAGAACTGTTTGGCATGGATGCCGCCCGGAGCCTGCTAACGCATGGATGCGCTCAAGCCACGACCTTCGTGTGTCGTTTGTCTTGGAGCTTGCTATAAGAAGATCTCAGCTCCACACGTGGGGAGTATAGTGTCATCCCAATCAAAGACGAAGCAAGTCTCCTAGCAGCATTCCCAGCTTGCAGTGGTTTGGGATATGCATTGTATCTGCCGGAGCCATGCATTGGCGAAATGTCACATGCTTCGGGGTCCAGGGCCTGCTTTAACGAAGGCGACACCGGTCTGCCAGGCTCACCCTCGTCCTGGCTCAAAGCCAGGAGAGCACTTCATCCCGCATACTCCTACACCTGTGCCTCCTGTGCGTCGGGGCGCCCATCGCCGGCGTCCATCAGGAGCGACCCAGCGCAGACGGCGCCCCCATGGTCCCCCGACGTCTTGACACAAAAATTAACGACAGAGGAGAAACCGCAAAGCCGCAAAGCTGTGAACTCTGGGTGCTGTGGATGAGTGGAGAAGAAAATCCACTGAGGTCTCCTGCGACGCCCGACCCTCTTTTCAAAGCTCTCCGGTCTTGCGAGGTGCTGCCAGTTGAGCGTATTCTTTGACGCACTGGCGAAGCCTCAGTCTGACAAGCCCAAAAGGCGTGTGGGATCGCCTAGTAATGGGGCACTGACTGCTCCAAGCCGCTGAGACTGCAGGAGTCACGTCCTCAACCCAAAGCAAAGCCCAGGGAAGGCCAGATGATATCGGTGCAAGACGCCATTCACTGAACTCTTCCGAGACGCCCAAGCCGGTCACGCGCGGCAGTGGACTCGACCTGGCCAGTCCAAGGTGACGCGAGACGCGAGAGACTGACTACACCCCTCTAGGCACCGAGACCAGATGTGAGGGAGACGATTCATCTCTCGCCACAAGGAAGTGGCCTCGTGGCGACGTCCAGTGCGTGTGGGTCCAAAGGAGCTGAGTCACGGGATCTGGACCAAACTCTCCTCAAGCTTGCTGCCTCTCGCAAGCCTCGGCAGCTCGCTGTGGCACGCCCCCAGCTGACATCAGCTGACAACAGTCTGAGACTGCAGCTGGAGGGCAGCAACTCGGAGTTTTGTGGCGAAGTCCTACAGCAGCACGACGATCCGTTTGACGCAAACGCATCTACGCACAATGATGCGCCTGCAAAGCAGTGGCATCCGTCCAGAGCAAGCCCTGTACATGATCTTTGGCCGTCGGGCTCCACGCCATTCATCGCGTGATTGCGAATTTGCGCTGCCCACAACTCCGGAGTAGGGTCTGCAGAGACTGCTGCGACGTGCACTCGAAATACAGTCAAAATTAGAACATTGCGGTGTTGTGCCATGACTTCCTCCTCGCGCGGATTTGCCACTTCCGCAATCAGCACCCACACCTGAGCATCAACCTGCTCTGTTTTCCCCAAACACTACCTTAGACCAACCCTGGGCCCACCATTCCAGTGCTCCAATTCGCAAGGCCAGGATTCCAACATTCCGGCTTGTTGCAGGACGAATACTGTATAGGAATCACATCATGCTTTTAAGCTCTACGGACTAATCTCTGGCTTTGCGGCCTTCCGCCAACCTCCTCCGCAACTCGGCCATAGAAACGCCTTCACGAAACTCCTCGGGACCTAAGCCCATAACCCCTTATAAGCATCTCCCTTTGACACGCCTCTCACGTTGGGGCTCGCCATGGCCCTCGAGGCCCTCGCCTCCACAGAAATTCGGAAGACGAGCATGGCCATGTAGAAAAAACTGTTGCTGGTCTATTTCCGAGCATGGCCATGCATGGCCTCAACGAGCTGGTGTATTGGATGCCAGACGCCGGCTGACAGTAACGAGAGTGCGGCTTCCTCGGGCCGATCTCGAGGGTTGGGATCGTTTTGAAGGCGGGAAGTTTTGCCAGAGGTGACTTTGGGATGGCTGCGTGCAGATCTCCCCGGCGAGGTCGAGTATCCAGGCACCAGGCTACGAAAGGATTCTTTTCATGGATATTTGGAAAGAGTAAGGGAGTAACGCTGGGGCGATGGAGGACGAACACCCCAAACCACCTTAAAGATCTCGTCATCCTCATTGCCATCGCTGTTCTGAGGTCGCTTCGCCTGTTCGCCCGTGTTTGGGTCGATCACGAAGGGCTTGACCGGGGCAGGCGATGTCCTTTGTTGGAGATGCCTGCTTCTTGCGAGCACACGCAAGACAAACTGAACCATCTCTGTCAGTCCCACCTGAAAACTATCGTTGCACTGCTCCGTCTCGTCGAAGTATAGTTGGGCATGGCCAACATCCATAGTGATGGCCCTCGCCCTGTGTTGAACAACGTTGAAGGGCCTAGATTCCGCCGCTTTTTCCAACTCGTCTGCTTGCACTTCCAAGTGCCAAACTCACTGAGCCAAGGCAGCATGTAACGAGACCCGGATCGAGCAGAGGCACATTGACATGCTGTCGCCACAGTCAGGCCGAGGCGGGCGGCGTGGCATTAGAATTACACTTCCTGGTTGTCCTAATATCTGCGTCGAAGCATGAAGAAAGCACAGCAGAAAAAACAAGCACGTTCACAGCCCATGGTTCGAAAGCAAAGGCGTCGGGGCTCCTACAGCAAACTTCGATAGCTCGGATGCCCAAATAAAAAAGGCTTGAATTGGAAGGAAGAACGATCGAGCATCTTCTGCAAAGACTAAGATGGAGGCAAGACAGTAATGCACTGCTCTGGCTGCTCTGGAAGAATATATCACGGCGACTTCTGACAAGTACCCCAAAACTCCGCAAAAATGCATGATGATGCATGGTTGAGAGTCGCGACCGTCGTGTCAGCATGAAGGAGCGGCGAAGCAACTCCGCCCTCGCTGTGCCCTCAGGCACAGCAAAGAAAGGTTATTCCCCCCCAAAGCCGAAAACCCCTCTCGCCTGCGAGTGGGTTTAGGGTTTGGGTTCAGTTATCGATTCTAACCTACTGTAACTGTCACCCTCTCTGGACATAATATAGTCATAAGTCATAAGCGAAATCCTTGTAGGAAGTGCGGGTAGGGTTCACATTGAGGAATGACGACAAGGGTGAAGTACGACAAGCCAGCAGTGCATTCTGCACTGGCCCGTTCTATCTCAGACTCCGCTCGAAACCCCTGTCCTCCGAAGGTTGCAGCTCCTTCGCAAGTACCTGCATCAGCCACTATCACGAGCTATCAGCCGCAACTGCAGTTCCAGCCTGCCAATCCACCTGCCAAAGGTGTGCCGCCGGCCTTCAAATTCACACCGCTGGTGTTGAGGCAGGCAGGCGCAAAAAGCAGAAACTGGGAGGACAAAAGGCAACGCGGCACACCTGGACTCTTGCCGTGCGATCATCACCGAGCACCTCGCCCGGCCAACATCGCTTAAAGCGGCACTTTTGTGCGTTGCCACAGGCGCTTCTTCTTCCGGCAACGAAGCTTGAGGGCAGCAGGCAACAAAACAAGTCAGTACTGAGCAAGCAAATACTGCGGTGCCGCCAGCGTCGTGACGGATTCGTTCTCCCGGGGTAGAACTTACATTCATGCTGACTATATCTGACTATCGTTAGGACAAGTCATTCGGCAGCCGGTGCATTGGGTTGCCCCAACACTCGGTTTTGATTACGTGCGCGATTCATGACAAGCCCGTGACCCAAACGAGTTCAGTGTTAGATTCTGCCCGGGAGTTGCTAGAAAGTGGGCTCTTTGTGTGTGGGGTCGCCATGATCGGCGTTCCAGTTGTTCGGGAAAGTGAAGCGCTGTTTCCCTGGAGAGAAGCTCAGTGACTTCGTGTCCAAAAGATGGCGACGCCTTTGGATCGCGGGTCAGGTCCGGCTGTCCTGGCTGGAGCCGTCAGGCGGCATGGTGTCTGGGGTTCTTCACTTTGCGGCTGCGGCTCGTCGTCGTATCGTGGGCCTGTCAGCAGTTACTATGTGCTTACCTTCAATGTAGTGAGCTCGTACGTCCAGTCCCACTGAGGTAGGTGTTGAGCTCTCCATACAGTGCTACAAGTGCCTTGTCTGCGTACGATCAAATCGCCCTGCTGCATAGCTTTCTTTCGGCAAGGATCGGGCTTCGGTCTGTATAGGCTGTGCAGGCTTCATGGTCGCTGTGCTACTGTCTGTGCTGTGCCTCAGCTGTGCTCTGGACTTTCTGGTCCCTTTCTTTATTCGCGCATGTTACTGTAGTGCAGGACCTTTCCTCTCGAAGGAGTGTGCGGATCGAGCGGTTCATGCGCTGCGCAGAGACCGGACGTGGACTCGGGCAGCAGTAGGGCATGTGCCTGGATCCCATGCCTGCTGCTGCTCATGACATTCATGACCCACGAACTGTGCTGTGGGGGTTGCACTGTAGGTGCCAAGACCACACGGTCGAAGGAGAAGCAACTCGATGGCTAGGGGAATGTCTTGTCATCTTCTGAGTGTTGGGCGTAATAACCGAAGCCATGGATGCGGCCACCCCCGAGTCGATCTGCAACGACAGGGGAGTTGAAAACCGAAAGACGCGGCCGGCGCCGTCCACGCCTGGTACTGCAGGCAGGCCTGAAGGAGAAAAAGATGAAAAGGAGGGGGTTCCGCATCGCATCTCACCTGCCTCCGAGCGCTGGCCGCCGGTCACGGCGAGCGCATCCGCGAGCTCTTCGATCTGCGCCGCCTTGAGCCTTGCAAAGGCCTCCGACCGGCGGCTCCCAGAGCCCAAAGAGACAAAGAGGCAGAGCTGTGGCTTTCCGCCTCCGGAAGTTGGCACCTCACAGGATGGGATGGGTTCGGGTTCGACTGAGCCCACTTCTCACGGGAGATCCTTTTCTTGCTCTAGGCATTCAGTTGGAGCTTAAGCAGACGTCATGGTCAGGGCCAATTCGCAACCTGGATGTTGCCACTGCGTCTTGCCGGAAATACGGTCCCAGAAATACCTTGCCGCAATGCAGACCGCTGCAGTGCACTTTCGAAGGTCTAGAGCTGAAGTCAGCTGAGTTTCTCAATCTGAGAGCCAGCCTGTGAGGCTGAAAAAAGCGTCGGCAGATGCAGAGACAGCTGCATGCGGCATACCGAGCATGTGGCCTCATCCTTTGCCAGCACTTTCACCCAATCGCCGCTCTCTGTCTTCTGAGCCTGCTGATTTGACTGCACGGATTCGTCCTGAGATTCCTCGAGAGACTCCAGAATGCTGCGCCTAGGAAGGGTCAAAGCTGGCAGGCTTCCAAGTCCGATATTGCTGCTTGCTGTCCAGACGCAAGGCACGCACGAGTTTCGTCGATTCGGTGCTGTCACGAATTGCTTCTAGGGCTTCTCGACGCGCCTCCAAAGGGCCAGGCGTGTGAAAACAGTTCGAGCCAAGCAGCGCCCACCAGAGCACAGCAGGGGTCCCCTCTCGCCGCCGCCCCTTTGCCAGCCTGGCCTCTGCAGGAAGCTCCTGAAACTGTGCCCGCAGCTCTTCGGCGCCGGAGACCTTGCTCTGATCGAGCTGCATGCCCAGAGCGTAGCAGACGTGGCGCTCCAGGAACAAAGAGTTCTGGCTGACACCATCTCGTCTCATCTCCTCAAGCAGCCGGGCCTCAAAATCCCGCAAGATCTCAGTCTGACGAAAGGCTTCGCCTATGGCACCGACCGAACAGACCTCCAGAGTTTCTGGGCTCCTCACCCGGTCCGCAGCGGGCCGCCCGGCGGTGGCCAGAGATCCCAGGGCGCAGTTGTAGGAAATGACATCCGGGACGAAGCCGGCTGCTCTCATCTCTGCCAGAATTCCTGCAGTGTGCTGAGCCCATGCACCATGGCTGCAAATGTTCTCACTCCAACGAACAACGTACGGAGAGCCAAGCAACATCCCGCAAGCTGCGAGGAAAATATCATGTTCGAGTCACCCGAGCCCCGGATTTCCACAGCACAGGCTGCTCAACATTAGGCTGAGGGGCGAAATGCTGCATCTGCATCACCTCACATCGAGCATGAACCCTCGCAAGTGGATCAACAGATGCGCTTGAAGACTTCCTCGGTAGAACTGAACTTGCCATAGGGTCGACTACGAAAATCTACTTTATCCTACGGCTGCTTTTAGGCGTGGCGTGCAAGGTCAAGAAGCCACTGGAAAAACAGCACGGCCCAGGTGCCTGCAATGTGACAAGCATCCAGAATACAGTTGTAGCTGACAGTGGTCGCATTCAGACCAAGATCTCTAGCTTCTTGAAGGAGTGCCTGCGCATCATGCACGGGCACTCCATCAGATCTGCCTTGCACCAGATATTTGAACCCTGAGCGAACACACACAGCACAAGGAGGCACCGCCACAAAACCATCGAAATTAAAACCAACTGGTTTATGCTTCGCAGTTCAACTCTTGACTCTTTGGGACCCTGTATGAGCAGAGGAAACCAAGGGCTTTTTCGCCCCAGCCTCCGCAGCTGAAATGTCGCCAGTTTTTGCCACCGTGGACATGATAGTAGAGACTGCAGGGTAGACAGGTTGCACCCCAGCTGTGCGCATGTCCTGCCAAGCTCGCTTCGCGCCCTCCACATCGCGTGCGGCCTTGTACACGTCAAAGACAGCTAGGTAGCTGTGACCGTTGGGTTCCACTGCTGCCGAACGCATTTCGCCGAGCCTGCGGCATGTCCGAGACACTGTGTGGGCATGCCCAGCAGACCCTGAATCAGAATCTCCGAACCGCAACATTTGCTGAACTCATTCGTGCTGCAAGGCATGCGCCAGGACAGGGTGAGCTCTGCCGGCAAGTCGGATAAGTGGAGAGTACGTGCGCGCCTCGGTTGATGCCAAGCTTCAACCGTGTCCCAGCTAAGCTGCACTTTACGAGGGTCGGAGTATGTCGAGCTGTGTGTGTGTGTGTGTCGGTGGGCCAGCGCTGAACAGGCAGAGAAGACTTCATTAAAAGTTTTTGCTCGAACAAAACGCAAGGAGGGGCACACAGCACTTACGCGCTGCTGTGTGCAAAGAAGCTGTGGGCATGAGTGGGAAGGGGATGTAGTCGTGCTTCGCTGTAACTGTAGTGTGGAGTACCCGAGCACGTTGCTTGCGCCACTAGAAGCAGTGGACCCTATCCACCAAAGTGTTACATGCTGTCCTGGCCTTGCACACAGGCAGCGGCGGCATGTGGCCATGCCCGTGGTTTGTCTGGGGCCAGGACTCTAACTCCATTGAACTGCATGGTATCACCACTGTAATACAGTACCAGCCTCGCTGTTGGGCCCGGAGGACATTTTCACAAAAACGAATGTATTCTTTGGTCGCGCCTCATCCTTATGTGGATAGCTGGAGGGTCAAACGAGATGCATGTAGCACTAAGTAGTACTTCCCGACTTCATACATGGCTACCGGAAGTCCCTCAACTACAAGAACTATGGACTGTGAATGGCAAACCAAAAAACCTCAAGCAAGCAAGTGTGCGTGTGTGTGTGTGTGTGTGGGTGGGTGTGTGGTTGGGTGGGTGGGTGGGTGGGTGGGTGGGTGGGTGGGTGTGTCCGTGTCTGTGTGTGTGTGTGTGTGCGTGTTCTGTCCTCGTTCATGGGCTAAAGGGGGGTCACGCCCCTTTACATGTCGTTTTTTCATCTTGCAAGGGGACGGAGGGTGATGGAGGGGGTGCAGGGGAGCTCCGTCCAACGAAGCTCTCCCTTACACCCCAGGAAAACGTACCGGCTTTGCCTGCACCTGGGTCCTGAGGGGCAGATGGCGGGGCACTCACTGTCACTTTCATCGTTCATCTCTCTCTCTCCCGGATCGCAGCGTCTCGAAAACGCCTTGCGAGGCTGGTTAGGACAGGCACCCTTGATGCCCGGCGCCATTAGCGCTGTGCCTTTGCAGATCCGGATGATATGAGCGCCCCGTAAGGCTGCCTCATGTTACGGCTCGAAAGCCCTTGCTAACTAACACTGGAAATTGCAAAACGATACTTCTGTACAGAGACTCTTCCATGCTTTTATCTGTTCAGTCCAGCGTGTTCAGAAACTATTGTTCGGATTGAGTGCAGTCGGACGTAGCGCCGTCATTGGCTGTCATGTTGTGGTCGAGGTAATTTGGCGCCTCCTCGAGGACATCTGTGAGCACCTGCCCCTGCACCTGGCTTGTAAAGGCTGTCACAGCTGCATCTCCTGTAGCACTGGGGTTCGGCTCGCTGTGTGCAGCTGGTTGCTGCAAGGAAGGGCTGTTAGGGTCCATGGCGATGTCGCGTTGTTCTTGGCCTTGGCCTGGTCCCACAGCTGAATCCCAAGCAGAGGCTGACGCCGCGGCTGTCGTTGCAGGAACAGTTGTGCCTCCCCCATGACAGCGTCTTGTATGCATCATGCCCTTCGAACCAGCGCAGCGTGAACAGGAGCGGCTGTATCCTGGGTTGGTTCCCCGATTGCATCCCTGGGACGTAGACCTTGTTGTAGTCGTTGACATCGGCTGGAGTGCCCCATGCCTGTGAGGCGACAGCGTCTACAGCAGTGCTTGTGGCCATGGTCCTCGAACATTAGACTGCAAGTAGGCGTGCGGCATGTGCGGGAGCCGTCGGTTTCGTGACCCTTGCAGTGGCTACCGCAGGGAATGGCATCGGTCGGCTTTCGAACTCACGCACGAGCACTGACCGCGGAACATGCCAGCTGGCAAGCTTGCCCCCGCTCTCCAGCAGCAGGGTCAGGCAACTGGCTGTACAGGAAAGAAGATTCCCTGCTTGGTGAAGGGGAGCACGAAGCCAATCTCTTCGAGATACTGCGAAGTGCCTGGAAGGAGCTTATCTGATGAACATATGGCATTTGCTGCCACAACCACCCTGGCGCCGGCTGTCCAAGGGCAGGTGGCATGTGGCACTTGCCGTCCATCAACGAGAATACCGCTGGCAATGGCGTGGTACTTGTGCCCCGCCTTGAGATCACCTTCAATCTCGAAGAAAGAGGTGTGCGAGGGTCCACGTTGGTGACCAGAGACGTCCACTTGTGGTGCCTGGTCACTGCCACCGCGGCAGGTGCCCGTGAAGGCTTTTGCATCTAGTCATGTCGCAAGAGCCCAAACAAGAAACCATTATGGGCTAACCACGGATAGCCCTGTGCTTTCATGGGCTTGGACGCGACACGATCATCACTCAGATATAAACGCGAGCCGCAGCTCAAAGCGGCCTGGCGGTGACCTGCATGGGGCGTGTCACCCGTATGTGCCGCTCTGCAAAGACAAGGCGGTATGGAGCACGGTAATTTGCTGCGTTCCCGCCCGTGCAAAAGATCGGCACATCGACAACAGCATCAGGCCTGAGCTCGAGAGGGTCAGTGCGCTTGTAGGAGCGCCCCTCAGGAAAGTCATAGCGTTTTATGGTGAAAAAGGGTGTCTCGGTGACCATCGCGTGGGAATAATGCTGGTTCCCCCATCCTGTGATTCGGGCTTGCAGGGTTTAGTGTGGAGCACAAAGTTCGTATTTGCAGTGATCGTCTTGACAGCACTCTTGATAGTCGTACTGCGGGCACTTTTGGCAATCATCATACTGTCGCGCTTTAACCCCACATTAGGTTCCGAGTGCTCCTGGCAGGGCGACCCCGACGGCATTTGTGGATCACGAAGCGAAAATGGATCTCGATGTTTCGAGGCCGGGACGGTAGCTTGTGTAGTCCCCCTAGAGTTTGTTACTGGTAGCTCGTGTGCTCCAGTAGGACCTAGTTGACCATGGCAAGTTATCCTGTGGGCCCTCCTCCGGGTTTCAGTGCTGAAGATGCTCGCCCTCCGGGGCCTCCTGTGGACTCTCCGGAGTCACCTGCAGAGATCACTCCCACCCCGAGCTTCGGTGGGAATGACAGAGCGCGGAAAGTTCTTTGACAAGGGAGATGAGGACGCCAACGTTCCCCGAAAGGTATACACGGGGACCCACGCGCTGGCCGTCTGTTTGAGGCGCACAGTTGAAGTCGCCAGCCACGCAGCGGACATTGCGTTGGGGTAGGTGGGTGAGCAGGCGTCCAAGCCTATCCATATTTCTGCCGCTTGGCTTGACATTGTTTGGGCACGTCAGCGTCCCAAACCCATTGGTAAGCATTTATGAGATCACGGTGGGTCTGTTGCCTATTTTGACCTACGGGGATTCGAACATGCAACAAACGACCAGGAACAAGTTCCTGAAATCGGACATCCGAGTGGCTAGCCAAGCGCTCGAAGATATATATATATATATATGGCGACCCCGGCCCAGCGATGTTGCGGGTCAGGGCTGGAAATCACCGACCATGCAGCTTACAGGAACCCTGTACTCCGTGAAGTTCTTGCCAGTCCGTGGTGCGTCTCCTGCAGGAAAATCACGTCATAGGGGTTCCGGGAGCTTGTGAGCCAGGTCATAGTGATGTCGTTCGTCGTGGCCCACCTGTTTTTTCTCCTGGGACTTGGGCTGACTTGGGACCTTGGCGGCCCCCCGGCAGTGTGTGCTCCCCGTGGTGATCCATTAGTCCGGTGCAGTAACCAGTGCAACTGAAAAGCAGAACGTAAGCCAGCAAAGTATTTTTTTTGCGCCGCATGAACCATGTTTCGGGAGCCTATCCTGCCTGCTGGGGCCGAGATGCTTTTTTCATCGTTCATCATCATCATCATCATCATCAACATCAACATCATCTTGTTTCATTGCCAAGCATGAGCGCGACCATCCTTTGAGAAAGTGTCACACAACGCTTTCCGTCACGGCACCGTGGTGGTTTGCATTGCAGGCAGTCTCCACTGAGGGAGATGCGTTCTTCTTTCGCCTTCGGGCGCTTTTCTCGCTCTCTTTTTCTTCCTTTCATATCGTATGGCAACCAGGCTAAGCAGAGGACTTGGACACAGTCATCAGTGGCTTTGCATCTTACCTTTGTCTGTCATATGAAGTAATTAGGACCAGAACAATCAGAGGGAGGATTGCGCGACTGTATATCTAGGCGGTTGTTCGTTCAACGCGCGTCTATGGTAGGAGTGCCTACTCCACTGAACCCTGATCGGTTCGAACCCGTACGGTTCCATCTGATTGAGCCCTGATCGGCTGCCAGTTGCCGAACCCTGATCGGTTCGCCTGAGGGATATCTGTGCTGGACAAGCACAAACACGATCCTGAGCGATTAATTGCTATGCTGGAGAATTTTTTGTTCTGCTCGCAAAAAGAGCCTGGCAGATGTTCAGCCTTGAGTCCGCCGGGCCCCACCAGGTGCAGAAGCTAGCAAAGCTCGAACATCCTCCCACCGATCTCCTCTGTTGAGAAGCCATGTCTGATTGGTACGGCAACAATTGGAACGATCGCTCAAACAAGTGGCAACATGAACAAAGCTGGTCCTCGCATGACTTGAGAGTTTCTCAAACGCCTTGGCTGGTTACAGCTGTCGGTCGGCAAGCACTGCGGGGCTGCGGCAGCTTGGTAAGACCTGCGAGCTGCAGATGCTTGGACGTACTGGCAGGACATGCGCTGCAGGGCTGCGGCATTCTGTAAGACCGGCGAACTGCAAGCACAGTCCTCTAACGGGGTTTGAAGTGC